GGGCAGAGCATGAGGCAGAGCATGAGGCAGAGCATGAGGCAGAGCATGAGGCAGAGCATGAGGCAGAGCATGAGGCAGAGCGTGGGGCAGAGCATGAGGCAGAGCATGAGGCAGAGCATGAGGCAGAGCATGAGGCAGAGCATGAGGCAGAGCATGAGGCAGAGCGTGGGGCAGAGCATGAGGCAGAGCATGAGGCAGAGCATGAGGCAGAGCATGAGGCAGAGCATGAGGCAGAGCATGAGGCAGAGCATGAGGCAGAGCGTGGGGCAGAGCATGAGGCAGAGCATGAGGCAGAGCATGAGGCAGAGCATGAGGCAGAGCATGAGGCAGAGCGTGGGGCAGAGCATGAGGCAGAGCATGAGGCAGAGCATGAGGCAGAGCATGAGGCAGAGCATGAGGCAGAGCATGAGGCAGAGCATGAGGCAGAGCATGAGCCAGAGCATGAGGCAGAGCATGAGGCAGAGCATGAGGCAGAGCATGAGGCAGAGCATGAGGCAGAGCATGAGGCAGAGCATGAGGCAGAGCATGAGGCAGAGCATGAGGCAGAGCGTGGGGCAGAGCATGAGGCAGAGCATGAGGCAGAGCATGAGGCAGAGCATGAGGCAGAGCATGAGGCAGAGCATGAGGCAGAGCGTGGGGCAGAGCATGAGGCAGAGCATGAGGCAGAGCATGAGGCAGAGCATGAGGCAGAGCATGAGGCAGAGCATGAGGCAGAGCGTGGGGCAGAGCATGAGGCAGAGCATGAGGCAGAGCATGGGGCAGAGCATGAGGCAGAGCATGAGGCAGAGCATGAGGCAGAGCGTGGGGCAGAGCATGAGGCAGAGCATGAGGCAGAGCATGAGGCAGAGCATGAGGCAGAGCATAAGGCAGAGCGTGGGGCAGAGCATGAGGCAGAGCATGAGGCAGAGCATGAGGCAGAGCATGAGGCAGAGCATGAGGCAGAGCGTGGGGCAGAGCATGAGGCAGAGCATGAGGCAGAGCATGAGGCAGAGCATGAGGCAGAGCATGAGGCAGAGCATGAGGCAGAGCGTGGGGCAGAGCATGAGGCAGAGCATGAGGCAGAGCATGAGGCAGAGCATGAGGCAGAGCATGAGGCAGAGCGTGGGGCAGAGCATGAGGCAGAGCATGAGGCAGAGCATGAGGCAGAGCATGAGGCAGAGCATGAGGCAGAGCATGAGGCAGAGCGTGAGGCAGAGCATGAGGCAGAGCATGAGGCAGAGCATGAGGCAGAGCATGAGGCAGAGCATGAGGCAGAGCGTGGGGCAGAGCATGAGGCAGAGCATGAGGCAGAGCATGGGGCAGAGCATGAGGCAGAGCATGAGGCAGAGCATGAGGCAGAGCGTGGGGCAGAGCATGAGGCAGAGCATGAGGCAGAGCATGAGGCAGAGCATGAGGCAGAGCATGAGGCAGAGCATGAGGCAGAGCGTGGGGCAGAGCATGAGGCAGAGCATGAGGCAGAGCATGAGGCAGAGCATGAGGCAGAGCATGAGGCAGAGCGTGGGCAGAGCATGAGGCAGAGCATGAGGCAGAGCATGAGGCAGAGCATGAGGCAGAGCATGAGGCAGAGCATGAGGCAGAGCATGAGGCAGAGCGTGAGGCAGAGCATGAGGCAGAGCATGAGGCAGAGCATGAGGCAGAGCATGACGCAGAGCATGAGGCAGAGCGTGGGGCAGAGCATGAGGCAGAGCATGAGGCAGAGCATGAGGCAGAGCATGAGGCAGAGCATGAGGCAGAGCATGAGGCAGAGCGTGGGGCAGAGCATGAGGCAGAGCATGAGGCAGAGCATGAGGCAGAGCATGAGGCAGAGCATGAGGCAGAGCATGAGGCAGAGCATGAGGCAGAGCATGAGGCAGAGCATGAGGCAGAGCGTGGGGCAGAGCATGAGGCAGAGCATGAGGCAGAGCATGAGGCAGAGCATGAGGCAGAGCATGAGGCAGAGCATGAGGCAGAGCGTGGGGCAGAGCATGAGGCAGAGCATGAGGCAGAGCATGAGGCAGAGCATGAGGCAGAGCATGAGGCAGAGCATGAGGCAGAGCGTGGGGCAGAGCATGAGGCAGAGCATGAGGCAGAGCATGGCAGAGCATGAGGCAGAGCATGAGGCAGAGCATGAGGCAGAGCATGAGGCAGAGCATGAGGCAGAGCGTGGGGCAGAGCATGAGGCAGAGCATGAGGCAGAGCATGAGGCAGAGCATGAGGCAGAGCATGAGGCAGAGCGTGGGGCAGAGCATGAGGCAGAGCATGAGGCAGAGCATGAGGCAGACCATGAGGCAGAGCATGAGGCAGAGCATGAGGCAGAGCGTGGGGCAGAGCATGAGGCAGAGCATGAGGCAGAGCATGAGGCAGAGCATGAGGCAGAGCATGAGGCAGAGCATGAGGCAGAGCGTGGGCAGAGCATGAGGCAGAGCATGAGGCAGAGCATGAGGCAGAGCATGAGGCAGAGCATGAGGCAGAGCATGAGGCAGAGCGTGGGGCAGAGCATGAGGCAGAGCATGAGGCAGAGCATGAGGCAGAGCATGAGGCAGAGCATGAGGCAGAGCATGAGGCAGAGCATGAGGCAGAGCATGAGGCAGAGCGTGGGGCAGAGCATGAGGCAGAGCATGAGGCAGAGCATGAGGCAGAGCATGAGGCAGAGCGTGGGGCAGAGCATGAGGCAGAGCATGAGGCAGAGCATGAGGCAGAGCATGAGGCAGAGCATGAGGCAGAGCATGAGGCAGAGCGTGAGGCAGAGCATGAGGCAGAGCATGAGGCAGAGCATGAGGCAGAGCATGAGGCAGAGCATGAGGCAGAGCGTGGGGCAGAGCATGAGGCAGAGCATGAGGCAGAGCATGAGGCAGAGCATGAGGCAGAGCATGAGGCAGAGCATGAGGCAGAGCGTGGGGCAGAGCATGAGGCAGAGCATGAGGCAGAGCATGAGGCAGAGCATGAGGCAGAGCATGAGGCAGAGCATGAGGCAGAGCATGAGGCAGAGCTTGGGGCAGAGCATGAGGCAGAGCATGAGGCAGAGCATGAGGCAGAGCATGAGGCAGAGCATGAGGCAGAGCGTGGGGCAGAGCATGAGGCAGAGCATGAGGCAGAGCATGAGGCAGAGCATGAGGCAGAGCATGAGGCAGAGCATGAGGCAGAGCATGAGGCAGAGCATGAGGCAGAGCATGAGGCAGAGCATGAGGCAGAGCATGAGGCAGAGCATGAGGCAGAGCGTGGGGCAGAGCATGAGGCAGAGCATGAGGCAGAGCGTGGGGCAGAGCATGAGGCAGAGCATGAGGCAGAGCGTGGGGCAGAGCAGGAGGCAGAGCACGAGGCAGAGCATGAGGCAGAGCATGAGGCAGAGCATGAGGCAGAGCATGGGGCAGAGCGTGGGGCAGAGCATGAGGCAGAGCATGAGGCAGAGCGTGGGGCAGAGCCTGAGGCAGAGCATGAGGCAGAGCATGAGGCAGAGCATGAGGCAGAGCATGAGGCAGAGCGTGGGGCAGAGCATGAGGCAGAGCATGAGGCAGAGCATGAGGCAGAGCATGAGGCAGAGCATGAGGCAGAGCATGAGGCAGAGCGTGAGGCAGAGCATGAGGCAGAGCATGAGGCAGAGCATGAGGCAGAGCGTGGGGCAGAGCATGAGGCAGAGCATGAGGCAGAGCATGAGGCAGAGCATGAGGCAGAGCATGAGGCAGAGCATGAGGCAGAGCGTGGGGCAGAGCATGAGGCAGAGCATGAGGCAGAGCATGAGGCAGAGCATGAGGCAGAGCATGAGGCAGAGCATGAGGCAGAGCGTGGGGCAGAGCATGAGGCAGAGCATGAGGCAGAGCATGAGGCAGAGCATGAGGCAGAGCATGAGGCAGAGCGTGGGGCAGAGCATGAGGCAGAGCATGAGGCAGAGCATGAGGCAGAGCATGAGGCAGAGCATGAGGCAGAGCATGAGGCAGAGCGTGGGGCAGAGCATGAGGCAGAGCATGAGGCAGAGCATGAGGCAGAGCATGAGGCAGAGCATGAGGCAGAGCATGAGGCAGAGCGTGGGGCAGAGCATTAGGCAGAGCATGAGGCAGAGCATGAGGCAGAGCATGAGGCAGAGCATGAGGCAGAGCGTGGGGCAGAGCATGAGGCAGAGCATGAGGCAGAGCATGAGGCAGAGCATGAGGCAGAGCATGAGGCAGAGCATGAGGCAGAGCATGAGGCAGAGCATGAGGCAGAGCATGAGGCAGAGCATGAGGCAGAGCATGAGGCAGAGCATGAGGCAGAGCATGAGGCAGAGCATGAGGCAGAGCATGAGGCAGAGCATGAGGCAGAGCGTGGGGCAGAGCATGAGGCAGAGCATGAGGCAGAGCTGGCTTCAGCCCGAACGGGGCTCGTCATTGGTCATCTGAAACGACGCTCATGCGCATTCGTCAATGCGGGCTGCCACGTAGGACAAACATGAGGACAATTCTCCTCGTATTTGTGATGGTTCACGAATCTGCCCATTGGTTGGTGCGGGCGGGCTAACCAGGCCAAATATGTACGCATTAAACAGCTCCTCGCATATCGACCTACAAACCTGTGCTGAACTTTTCGTGTATCATTATACTGAACAGGCAGGGAAGTTCATACGGGATCTTTTCCCTACCACTTCTCGAACCCTGGTCGTCACAATCGATCGCACCACGTCACTCACCCGGCTTTCCACCATCAGCCAGCCAGTCAGCCAGTCAGCGAGTGGTCAGTGTCCAAAGAGTTTCTTCCATCCTCCCCTCTTCTTTTCCTTTAGCTGTTATTTGCTACCTCACAAATTCCCTGCTAGCTCCTGCTCTCTCTTCCTTTTTATCCCGAATTTCCTGCTTGCTTCTTTGGGAAACGCTTTTTCGTCCGGAATTTGCGCGCTCGCAGAGAGCTTGCCGAGTCATTACCGAAATCCGCGCGTTATTCGAGCGTTATTCGAGCGTTTTTTCGCACGAAAATTGGACGTTATTTGGGCGTTATTTGCGCGTGATTCGGACGCTATTCGCGCGTGACGTTCTATTTCCTCCGGAGCAGCCATGACGAGTTCCAGTCCTTTCGATAACGACGCGCTTCCTCGAAACGCGGCGAATTACGCGCCGTTGACTCCGTTGACTTTCATCCGCCGCGCCGCCGACGTGCACGGCGACCGATGCGCCGTGGTGTACGGCGACCAGGCGTGGACGTGGAGTCAGACGTACCGCCGCTGCTGCAAACTCGCGTCCGCGCTGTGCCGCCGCGGCATCGGGAAGAACGACACGGTCCGTCCTTCCGTCCGTCCGCCCGTCCGTCCGTCGGGCGGTCTGTGCGCCTGCTAGATGGTCCATTACCGATGCTTCGTGTTTCCATCACCCTCATCCTCGCCTTCCCCCTTCCGCCCTCCGTCCTCCTCCTCCCCTGCCCCCCCTCTTCCCCCTCGAGTGGCAGTGCTGGCCCCCAACATGCCAGCTCTCTACGAGGCTCATTTCCGTGTGCCCATGGCGGGTGCCGTGCTGAACGCCATCAACTCACGTCTGGACGGCCGCACCGTCGCCCGCATCCTCATACCCCTCGCCTTCCCCCTCCGTCCCCTTCCCCCCTTCCCCGCTTCCTCCCTCCATTCCCTCCACCACCCCAGGTGGCAGTGCTAGCACCAAACGTACCAGCTCTGTATGAAGCACACTTCGGAGTGCCCATGGCGGGGGTCGTGCTGAACGCCATCAACACGCGCCTGGATGCGCGCACTGTTGCCCCCATCCTTGCCCACCCCCTTTCCCCTCCGTCCCCTTCCCTCCCCTGCGCCCCCCCACCCTCCCAGGTGGCAGTGCTAGCGCCCACGTACCAGCGCTCTACGAGGTTCACTTTGGTGTGCCCATGGCGGGGGTCGTGCTGAACGCCATCCACACGCGGTTGGACGCCCATACCGTCTCCCGCATTCTCGCCCTTCCCTTCCCCCCCTGCATCCCACCTCCCCAGGTGGCGGTGCTAGCGCCCAATGTGCCAGCTCTCTACGAGGCGCACTTCGGAGTGCCCATGGCGGGGGCTATTCTCAACGCCATCAACACGCGTCTAGATGCTCGCACCGTCGCCCTCATCCTCGCCCACGGCTCTGCCCGCCTGGTCATGGCGCACCGGTCGCTGGCGCCGCTGCTCACTGACGCCCTGCTGCTGCTGCCAGGCCTGCTGCGGGAGAAGGGGCGTCTATCAGGCCTGCCACAGGTGGGTGGTGCTGGTTGGTGTGATGTGTGATGGGGCAAGCAGCACCGTCGCCTTCATTCTCGCCCACGGCGCTGCTTGGCTGGTCATGGCAGGGTCAGGTCAGCTGCCATCCCCACTTTCCCCACTGGGTTGCCTCTGATCTGAGCCAGGGTCGGCTGGGAGCAAAGCAGGTGACGCCCCACCTTGGGGAGGGCCGACCATCATGCTGTGCCATGCCATGCCTCTTCTCACCATCATGCTGTGCCATGCCATGCCTCTTCTCACCATCATGCTGTGCCATGCCATGCCTCTTCTCACCATGTCTCATGGCCTTGCCTCCTCCCGACTCCCACCATCCATGATGCTCTATGTGTTCCTGTCCTCTGTGCTTTCTACCTTCCCTTCACCTTCCCGTTCTCTCCGTCCTCGCACCCCTGTCCCCATCGAAGCCTCCCTTCACCCTCCCTGTCCTGCTTTCTTCTAAATCCTCTTACACTGGATTGGCCTTTGAGAATTCTCAAAAGTCCTTCACCGCAATTTTCCGACCCTCCACTCCCGCCCGCCCTCTCCTTCCCAGGTTGTCATTATCGAAGATGCTGACGTGGAGCCATCCGATCAAAGCGATCCAGGTGGCAGCGCTGCTGACGTGGCAGCCCTGGCAGCATCACTGAACAGAGGAGGGGGAGGGGGAGGGGTCAGGGGAAGAGGAAGGGGAGGGGAGAGGGGGGGAGTGGTGACGTATGAGGAGCTGGTGGGGGAGGGGGATGAGCGGTACGAGTGGGAGGGGGGAGCGGCGGGGGAAGGGGAAGGCGGGAGTAATGGAGGGGTGGGGGATGAGTGGGATGCCATTGCGCTCAACTACACGTCTGGCACCACTGCCCAACCCAAGGTACAGAAGGGGGAGGGGAGAGGGGGGGGGGAGTGGTGACGTATGAGGAGCTGGTGGGGGAGGGGATGAGCGGTATGAGTGGGAGTGGGAGGGGATGAGCGGTATGAGTGGGAGTGGGAGGGGGAAGGAGAGGGCGGGCAGGGCGGGGGCAGGAGAAGGGCAGTGGTGGAGGACGAGTGGGATGCCATTGCTCTCAACTACACGTCCGGCACCACCGCCCACCCCAAGGTGCTTCTCCCCCCAAGGTGCTTCTCCCCCCAAGGTGCTTCTCCCCCCAAGGTGCTTCTCCCCCCAAGGTGCTTCTCCCCCCAAGGTGCGTCCCCCCCCAAGGTGCTTCTCCCCCCAAGGTGCGTCTCCCCCCAAGGTGCGTCTCCCCCCAAGGTGCTTCTCCCCCCAAGGTGCTTCTCCCCCCAAGGTGCTTCTCCCCCCAAGGTGCTTCTCCCCCCAAGGTGCTTCTCCCCCCAAGGTGCTTCTCCCCCCAAGGTGCTTCTCCCCCCAAGGTGCTTCTCCCCCCAAGGTGCTTCTCCCCCCAAGGTGCTTCTCCCCCCAAGGTGCTTCTCCCCCCAAGGTGCTTCTCCCCCCAAGGTGCTTCTCCCCCAAGGTGCTTCTCCCCCAAGGTGCTTCTCCCCCCAAGGTGCTTCTCCCCCCAAGGTGCTTCTCCCCCCAAGGTGCTTCTCCCCCCAAGGTGCTTCTCCCCCCCTCTGCCTCGCCCAAGCTGCTCTTCCCTCTGCCACCCATGTGCATGAGAGTAGGGGCACATGTTACTCCTCGTACCCATGAGAGTAGGGGCACATGTTACTCCTCGTACCCATGAGAGTAGGGGCACATGTTACTCCTCGTACCCATGAGAGTAGGGGCACATGTTACTCCTCGTGCCCTCCCCCAACCCCCCTTTTCCCTTTTATCTCCAGGGTGTGGTGTGCACACACAGAGGCGCGCGCGTACCTATCAGCGCTGGCCAACGTGCTAGCATGGGGGCTGCACGCGTTGCCAGGGGGCCAGCGCCCCGTGTATCGCTGGACGCTGCGTGTATCACTTCCGAGGATTCTCAAAATTGGCTGCTCCGTGTACCTGTGGGTGCTTCCTCTCATGATTATGCCTTTTCTCCCCTCCCTTCACACTCTCTCCCCCCTCCCCCAGGGTGTGGTGTGCACACACAGCTGCACGCACTGCCAGGCGGCCAGCGCCCCGTGTACCTGTGGGTGCTGCCACTCTTTATGTAACTTTCCTTCCCCTCCCTTCACTCGCTTTCCCCCTCCGCCAGGGTGTGGTGTGCACACACAGGGGCGCATACCTATCAGCCCTGGCCAACGTGCTAGCGTGGGGGCTGCATGCGCAGCCAGGGGTGCAGCGCCCCGTGTACCTCTGGACGCTGCCACTCTTCCACTGCAACGGCTGGACCTTCCCCTGGGTGCTCGCTGCTGTTGCCGGCACCAATGTGTGCTGCAGAGAGGTGCGTGGCGAGGTTGGGTTGGGTGTGGTATGGTGGGGTGTGCCACGGTGCTGTGGCTGGACCTATCTCTGGGTGCTCGCTGCTGTTGCCGGCACCAACGTGTGCTGCAGGGAGGTGCGTGGGTGCGGTGGTAGGAAGATGGGAGGACGAGAGAGGTGGGTTAAGAGGGAGGCAACAGTATGAGCATGTGCAGCTGCTGGGTGAGTCCCTCCTGTGCTGCACACGGTTGTGTGGCATGGTGGGGTGTGGCATGGTGGGGTGTGGCATGGTGGGGTGTGGCATGTGTGTACACTCCTCTGAGACGCACTCAGCTATGCTCGCCTTTTCTCAATACACAAGGCCTTAAGCCCCTAACTGCGCTGTCTATTCTCATACAACCTCGTGGCCCTCCTCCCCCACCCATGTCCGCCTTCCCTCAGCAGCCAGCGTCTTCACACTCACCATCCCCCGCCTCCTCGTGACACACGTGTGACGTGACTTCTGAGTCGACTCAAAGTCTCCTACCCATGCCCCTCCCCTCCCCGCCAGGTCACAGGGCCAGCATGTTCCCAGTTTGTGTTGTGCCACTGACTCAAAGTCCCCTAATTCTCCGCTTTGTGTTGGGCCGCGCCGCATCCGTGGTGATCTTCTTCCCTCCTCGTCCACGCACCCTCCTCCTCCCCCACCCATGCATCCCCTCCCTCTCTCCCTCAGGTGACAGCAGCCAGTATATTCTCGCTCATCCCCCGGCACAGAGTGACGCACATGTGTGCTGCACCAGTGGTCCTCTCCTTCCTCATCCACGCCCCCGACTCCCTCCGCCTGCCCCGCCCCCGCCTGCCTCCCTCCAGGTCACAGCGGCCAGCATCTTCTCTCTCATTTCCCGGCACCGAGTCACCCACATGTGGGCCGCCCCCGTGGTGCTCTCCTTCCTCATCCATGCGCCCGACTCCCCCACCCAACCCCCTCACCCCCACTCCACCAGGTCACAGCGGCCAGCATATTCTCTCTCATCCTGCGCCGCAGAGTGACTCACATGTGCGCAGCACCCGTGGTGCTCTCCTTCCTCATCCACGCGCCCGACTCCCTCCGCCTGCCCTTCCTCGCCGCACAACGCGCCCAGGGGCATGGGGGGAGTGACTATAGCGAGGGCAGATGGGAGGGCAATAGCGAGGGCAGCAGGGAAGGCGGAAGGGATGGGTATAGTGAGGGAAATAGGGAGGGCAGCAACAGGGGGAGGCAGGAGGCGAGGCGGGTGCATGTGATGACAGCGGGGGCAGCGCCGCCACCAGCAGTGCTGGCGGGGATAGAGGCGATGGGGTTTGAGGTGCTGCATGCATACGGGCTCACGGAGACGTATGGGCCGGCTGTGGTGTGCGAGTGGCAGGATGAACGGTGGCGGGGGGCGGATGAGGGTGAGAGGGCCAGGCTCAAGGCGCGGCAGGTGAGATGTTTCAGGGTGGGTAGGGGGTAGAGGTTCATTAACAGGGGATAGAGGCGATGGGGTTCCACGTGCTGCATGCATACAGGCTGACGGAGACATACGGGCCGGCCGTGGTCTGCGAGTGGCAGGATGAACGGTAGCGAGGGGCGGATGAAAATTAACAGGCGAGATTGAAGGCGAGGCAGGTGAGATGATGATGTTCATCCTGGGTGAAGGCTAGGTAGAGAGGTGCACTGGCGGGGATAGAGGCGATGGGGTTTGGCGTGCTGCATGCATATGGGCTCACAGAGACGTATGGGCCGGCTGTGGTGTGCGAGTGGCAGCATGAAAGGTGGCGAGGGGCGGATGAAAATGAACGGTCGAGAGTGAAGGCACGGCAGGTGAGATACGTGCATGCTGGGTGAAGGCTAGGTAGAACCTAGAGGTGCATTGGTTGTTGGTAGAGGCAATGGCGTGTGACGTGCTGCATGCATACGGGCTCACGGAGACATACGGGCCGGCTGTGGTGTGCGAGTGGCAGGATGAAAGGTGGCGGGGGGCGGATGAGAGCGAACGGGCGCTTCTCAAGGCGAGACAGGTGGGTGAGATGTGCAAGGGGGTTATGGGTGGGGGTTGGAGGATGGAAGTGTGTGGATGAGTGCTAGATGGAGGTGCATTGATTCTGTGCAGATGAGTGAGGGAGTGGCCAGAGGCGCACCCTCTCCTCTCACCACCCTCGCCTCCCCTCACCCTCTCCTCCCCCACTCTCTCCTCCCTCTTTCCACTCATGGCCCTGAAAGGACTGCCAGTAACGGATAGAGGCACGTAAACTTATCCCTCACCCCTTCCCCCGTCCACCACCTCTCCCCCGCATGCTCTCATCCCCCCACCCTCTCCTTTCTCCCTCCCTCATTCCCCACCGGCAGGGCGTGCGCTGTATGGCCCTGGAAGGCCTAGCCGTGATGGACCCAGTCACGATGCGACACGTGGCGGCGGACGGGCGGAGCATGGGCGAGGTGATGCTGCGGGGTAACATGGTAATGAAGGGGTACGCGGGCGACCCACAGGCTACTGAAGCGGCGTTCCGAGGGGGGTGGTTCCACTCGGGGGACCTTGCTGTCATGCACCCTGATGGGTACATTGAACTCAAGGTGGGATTGTGGGATGGGGCGTGTGGAAGGTGGGATGGTGGGATGAGGGGGGTGCAAGGTGGGATGGTGGGATGGGGGGGGGTGCAAGGTGGGATGGTGAGGGTGGAAAGTGCATTTTGAGTCGACTCAGAATGCCCTCGCTGTCATGTCATGCACCCTGGTGGATACATTGAGATCAAGGTGGGGTGGGGGGGTGAGGGGATGGTGGAATCCTGAGGGCGCAAAGGTGAAATGGTGGGGTGAAAGGTGAGACATCATATGTGTTTCAGAGTATGTGTTGACCATATTCATTTACTCTAATAGTGCATGGGCACCCTAGTGATTGACACCACTCTCTCATCAATCAGCGGTTGCGGTGTTTACACAATCAGCCGTTGCGGTGCTGCCAGGCTGGCAGGATTCTCTTAAAGATGCAGCACCACTAGCAGTATGTAATTCAAGAACTCATCACATTTCACACATAAGATCCTGTGAGGGATCGCTATGTGGGGTGTACAGTGGTTCGCGATCTCGTGAATGCTCGTGTATCCCTGTTTCGCTTATCTTCGCAAAGACTCAGGACGCGTCACATAGGGCGATAGATCGTCCAATGTCGATCTGCCACCACACTGAAATCATGGCTCTTGCATCCAAAACTCTCTGAACCGTTTCTACCCCTGCCAAAAAAGGATCTTGAGGACGAACTTGTCCCATATGGCTCGGAGGCGCAAACATGCAGATTGGAACACCGGTGTGGCGATCGATGCTCACAGGTTCAGTGTGTGTCCCGGATCCTCTTCCGATGCGCGAAATGTGACGCGTCCTAACCGCTGTGGACATCTCCACATGCAGCTTCCTCCACTCCTTTGATGGACCTGCATATAACGTGGGCTCTGAAGCTAGAATGCCCCCCATCCCTCTTCCTGAACCTGTTTCCGCCCAACTTAGCTTCACAAGCACCACTCATGTCCCCACCGCTCCAATCCACGCCCACTACATCTCCCACTCTCTTGGGCACTACATCCCTTCCTTCCCGCAACCAGGATCGCTTGAAGGATATAATCATATCGGGCGGGGAGAACGTGAGCAGCATAGCAGTGATACCATGTGGGGGGAGTCCGTGTGCGCCTTTGTGTGCCTTTGTGCACGCCCAGACATACCCACATCTCCCTGACAGGGCGTGTTCGCCCCAACAGCACGTGGGGGGAGTCTGTGTGCCCCTTTGTGTGCCGCAAGCCAGGGGGAGCAGCTCACACACATCTCCCACTCTCTTGCTTACGCCCACCGTCCCCTCCCCACAACCAGGATCGCTCAAAGGACATAATCATATCGGGTGGGGAGAACGTGAGCAGCATAGCAGTGGAGGCAGTGCTCTACCGCCACCCCGCTGTGCTGGAGGCAGCAGTCGTGGCGCGCCCTGATACCATGTGGGGTGAGTCCGTGTGCGCCTTTGTGTGCCGCAAGCCAGGGCAGCAGCATGCGCGCGTGGGCGAGGGGGATATTATTGCGTTCTGCCGCGACCACCTGCCGCATTATATGGCGCCCAGGACAGTTGTTTTTACCGAGCTGCCCAAGACCGCGACGGGCAAGATCCAAAAGTTTGTTTTGAGGGAGAGGGCGAAGGAAATGGGTAATCTTGAAGGCGGTAACAGGCCTACGTCTAGATTGTGAAATTCGAAATCTCGAATCTCTGTTGTCGTAACCACCCACATTACATTATGTGGGAGGGACCTAATGGGGACTGTGTGTGAAGATGTTCAACTCAGTCCACTCAGGTGCACCATTTTGGGACTTGTTTTGTACGGCATTTTGTACCCCCCTTATTATTATATTCACTATGGTATGAAAAGGTCACTGTACAAGACATCCACGGATCCTCATTCTTCAATGCATTATATGTGTAACAGCCTACCTGACTTACCAGGCCTTGAGGTATGGATATATCCGGAGTGACAGCAAAAAAATGACTAAAAAGGCTTGTACTAGAGTGAACGTGAGAGATGTCAAAGTATATGCATGTTACATATGTGTAGGCTGTAGTGGGGTAGCCAATATGGGGTACAGCCCTTTTTAGGGTTTCATACTTGTACCCAACTCTTTGATAGTTCATTCATTCCTGCTGCTAGATTCTAACATGGTTTCAGAGCACTAGGTCCGTAGGACCGTTTTTTCGGGCCCACCTACCGTTGCGGTTACCGCGTTACCCCACGTGTTGTCCTGCCTGCCTGCCTTGCCTTGTGACGTGCTGCGCTGCGCGCGCCGTCCTGCAGCCCTCGTGCTGCCTACTGCTGCCCTAGGCCAGAGCGCCGCCCCTGCAGGCCCGTAAGGCCCACGCGCCGCGCCTGCAGACACGTCAGGCCTGCGAGCCGCCCCTACAGGCCCGTCAGGCCAGGGCGCCGCCCCGCCAGGTCGCTGCCCCGCGCGTCGCGCCCACAGCCCGTGCGTCGCGCTGCAGCCCTGCGCGTCGCGTCCGCTGCCCGCGCGTCGCGCTGCAGCCCCGCGCGTCGCGTTCGCTGCCCGCGCGTCGCGCTGCAGCCCCGCGCGCCGCGGCTGCCGTCCTCGCGCAGCCCGCGGCGGCTTCGCGCGCCGCGTCCGCAGCTCGCGTAGCGCGCTGCAGCCCCGCGCGCCGCGGCTGCCCCTGGACGCCGCCGTCGCTCCTGCAGCAGCTGCCGCGGAGCGCCCTGCCACAGTCGCAGCCCCGCCCTGCAGCAGCTGCCGCGGAGCCTTCTGCCGCCGTCGCGGCCCTGCCCTGCAGCAGCTGCCGCGGCTGCCGCGGAGCCTTCTGCCGCGGTCGCGGCCCCGCCCTGGAGCAGCTGCCGCGGAGCCTCCTGCCGCCTTCGCGGCCCTGCCCTGCAGCAGCTGCCGCGGAGCCTTCTGCCGCCGTCACGTCCCTGCCCTGCAGCAGCTGTCGCGGACCTGCCCTACCTCCGACGCGGTCCTGCTCTGCCGCAGCTGTCGCGGCCCCGCCATCGCCGCCGTCGTGCGCCTGCCCTTCCCGCCACTGGTGAGCACCTGCCTACCTGCCTGCCTGCCTGCCGCGCCTGCCCTGCCTGCGCTACTACTACTCCTAGGCTGCTGCTGCTGCTGCTGCTACTACTACTGCTGCTACTGGCGGTGGCCAGATGCAGCTCCAACGACGTTCACGCGAGTCTCTCACGCCCCAGCAGCTTAGTGAGTGGTACGCTAGTTGGGGTTGTGGCGGTCGCCGTCGTAGCTGTCGCCCTGGAGCTGGTCAGTTGGGAGCGTCTGGCAGTGGCCAGCTGCAGCTGCAGCGGCGTCCACGCGAGACACTTACGTCCCAGCAGCTTCACGAGTGGTACGCTCAGAGTAGAGGGTCTTTGAGTACCGTTCGCTGCCCGTACGTCATTCACACAGGTGATCGGACCGGTCAGGCTTGCGGGCAGGGCTAACTTTAGTCTGGGGGGCCGTCTGACGTTAAGACCGAGTCCTGGTTGCTTGTCTGATCCTCAGACGAATGCTGTAACGATGTGTAGGCTTTCAGACGAATTTGAACTACTTGTCTAGGCGTTCAGACGAAAATGTTCAAATAGTCCTACTACATATAATCAATTCATTACAGCTATTCATTTTAATGTAAGATCCTATTCTAAGAGGAGTCACTAGCATTACTGCTGCTGCCACTGTCATCATCATCACTACCGCTGTCTCTCTCAGACTCAGAGTCTGAGGTTTCCTCTAATGTAGCTGCGGCTTTGCCCTTCCTCCAGGTAGGGATTTCCCATGCTGCTTCTTCTGCCGCTCTCTCTCTCTCCCTTGTGGCAGCCACCTCCGCCTCTTTCTGTGCGCGGGTTGCCTCTTCCGCTGCTGCTGTTGCTACCGCACGTTTCTTCTGGTGATGGGACCGCCGTCTGTTCACCGGACGTGATCCTTGAGCCATGACCACCTCACGTGCCGGCTGCCTCTTCTTACTGCCATGCCACCTCTCCACCAGCTCCTCTGTGTTCAGCTCGTAATTCAGAAGAGAGACAGTCATCAGGTCCCCGAGTGTCGTGTCGCACAAGCTGCCGCGCACCCAGCTTTTAATAATGTTCTGACGGCTGAAACCGCGCTCACACTCAACAGTGCTGAGTGGGAGCACGGCAACAGCTATCCACAGGCGACCGAGGTTCGGAAAGGCCAACTCCCAATCCGGCGTTGAGAGCATCTGCGAGAGGCTGTCGTGGAAGGAGAGGTCTTCGTGATGAGTGGAGAGAATTGTGGTGAAGCTGGTGAGCTCCTTGGCAGCTTTGCCCCAATCGACACCTGATAGCGAGGGGAGGGGGGATGGAACATCGATAGCACATTTTATAGTTGAGTATATACAAATGACACCACAGCCAAAATCATCCAAGGCATGGGTCACATGCTGACATAAAATATAGCGCTTACCAGGAAGGGTGTCTGGATGTTGCGGTTTCTTCTTGAACAGGTTGCGCAGAGACTCGAGCCACACGGGAAATCGGCGCGCTCTCTTAGAGCGCGAGCGAGGGTACCGTCCTTGCCGAAAGAGACGGCTCCCTTCTAGCGACTTCAGACTCTTCATGCGGTCGTCGATAAAAAACACCGTCCTCGCCGCGAACGCCGATGCCGCCTCCACGCACGATGCCAAATCCCCCCCAAATTTCTCCTTCGCGATGTAGTCCTCGTGCAGAACGTAGGTGTGCGTCACGGGTGTTCCCTCGCTGTCAACGCTTTCGACCTTCACCTCGCGATGCTCAAGGCTCCCGCGCGCTTTCAGGAATGTCGGGAGACGACCACTGTTGTCGCCGAAGGTGGAGCCATACTCCACGTAGCGACTGGTCAGGGCCAGTGTGGTGTGCTGCACCATCGGAAGAACCTGCGTCACATCGAGCTGCACATATAAAACAGACGCAAATTAGTCTCGGGAAGGGAACCCAAGCGTAATCTATGACATAAATCCCTTACCTGCCGTCGCTGAAACTTAAGATTGAGGCTGTTCAACTCCTGAAGCACATCAACCAGGAAGAACAAGAAAAACTGAAACTTCAGACTTGTTACAA